GCCCTTCAACCCCCCGTCCTTGCCCCCTTCCCAGCTGAACTTTGGCAACTGTCCATGTGAACTTGCAGGAGAGTGCTGCTCCCTATAGCCATAGCGGGAGACCTCTCAACATCCACCGCCCCCCTTACCACTCCTTCACAAGCTGGCTGGGGGAAACGGAGAGGCCTGGCCAGCGTTGCACCAATGCACGACCTTGCGTCTTGCTCAAAACCTAGAGCATCACCCTGACAAGATGTCACTACTAGTTTTGTGCTGGGAGGGGCATCGTGCATCCATGCAACACTGGCATGACTCACTGCCCTGCCCCCCCCTCAGTTTCTCCTGGCTGGTGGCAACCCTAGAACCTGCCATAGGTTGCCTGGAAAGGAGAATTCTGGCAATGCTGCTTCTCGAGGGATTGCAAGAATTCCATGGGAAAAGCCACCCCGGTGGCACTCTCCCTCCCATCTGTCCAATCTGGACAGACCTCTCTGGGGCCTTCCAGCTTTGTTGTCCAGGAACTGATTCTCCCCTTGCCCTGCCATGCCCTGCCCTGCACCCACCTCATCCACATGTGAAACTGGAGCTCCTCCTCACTCCTTTTCCAAGCAGAGGTAGACAGCTCACTGGAGCCAAAGCCTTGAGCTGAAATCGAAATAAAATATTTTAACCTGAAGTCAGCGTGTACGCCTAGCTCCTTCCGCTGGTTTAACTTCCCATTAAATCGTAATATATTTCCTCTTCAGGCTTTCCGAGGCACTTTATAATACTTTATAATACTCGCCAGCATCTGATTCATCCGACGAGAGGCTTGCAAGGGAGTCAGGTCAATTTGATTGCTACGAGCTGCTTATAACTGCGCAGCTATGAATAGCGAGTGAATTTGGCCATCAGGCGCACTTATACAAACTCTAGGTAGGCCTCCCTTCATCCTTGGAGAGTCGCAATTCAGTTGTGTAATTTGGGGAGGAAATGTGGGGGAGGGCCCATCACTAGGAGAACCAAGGTATTGTTTGAACAAATTTAGAGTTCAGTGGCACCTTTAAGACCAACAAAGGTTTATTCAAGGTATGAGCTTCCGTGTGCATGCACACTTTTTCCAAATACATTGGAATGGTAGGTAAGGTTCAAACTTATAGACAGGAGCTGAACAGCCAATTAACATGTTACTTGATGAAGATGTGCAAAGACAAATTAAATAACAAGCCAAGGTTATAAGGCCAACAATTGTAAAGCAATAAATATGTCAAAAAAGCAGATAAATGTGCAAAGATAACTTTTCTAATTGTGGGAGGTAAACTGATACTCTCCATTCTCTCTTCTCAAGCGTGAAGGTCACTTAACAGCATATTGTCGTTAGTCATGCTTTACTATTAAAAATGCCCTGTCCTGTTTGAATACATGAAGGATAACCTGATGAACAGCCTCCAGTGTCATGTGAACTGTTGAACCAAAAACTGTGCTCCTCACTTGCAACTGGTGGACAGAACATGGACCAAACCGATGGGTGTTCAAATGACCCCTCCTGCAAACCCGACTTCCGGTTGTCTCAGTTGTATTGTGTCAGCTTTGGGGTTTTTTTTGAAATCTTATGGTTGGTTTTATAGCTTTTGTCATTTATTTATTTAAATTTTTAGACTGCCCTCCCCTGTACAACGGCACTCAGGACGGTGTAGAACAGTAAAACACATTCACAGTTTCGATTTGCAGATTTTAAAAAACAGTAAAAATATGACAAATTAACCTGATTTGATGGTGCTAGGGAACTTCAGATTGCGCCACCGTCTCACGGGGGAAGGGAGGGGTAAGAAAACAGGAGAGCCAGAGAGATGGAAACTGTCGCTGTCCTCAACCAAACACCTGGCAGAACATCTCTGCCTCGCAGGCTCTGCGGAGCTGTGTTAAGTCCTGCAGCACATGGATGTTGCTCAGCAGGGATTTCCACCAAGTTGGAGCCAGAGCTGAAAAAGCCATGGATCTGGTCTAGGACAGCCGGATATATCACAGGCTGGGGGGTCACCAGTAAGTAGGGTTGCCAAATCTGGATCGTCCGGGAGCGGGGGGCTCCCGGACGATCCCGGGTGTGTGTGTGCGCGCGCGCGCAGCGTGCACGTCGGTCAGTTTTCTCATTGTTGAATTCTGAGGGGGGGGGTGTTTCCTTATTTTATGCCCCCAGCATCCCACCTGTGCCACACATGTACCAAAACAGTGTCATGTATGTCATCTACTGCTGCTGTGTACCAGGACAAGGGCTCTTCCTCCATACTCACCAGGCCCTCTGGGCCTTCCGCGAAGAATGCGTCCAAAGCGAAACAAAACGGCACGCTCGTACTCCCTCACGATCTGTCAAGGGAAACTAAGATTAATGATGAGATCTGTAGGGAGGGGACAGGTGGAGCCAGGTACCTCGTGGGAATTTCCACTTTAGGCACGCCAACCGAAAGAAATGGTCTTCATGTACAAACCTAAAACAGCATGCAGCTCATTCGGGCTGCTGTTTTTGTTCAACAACATGGAAGGCTAACAGCCCCATCCAGAGTTATGCCCCTCAAAGTCAACTGAAGAGTATAACTCCGCTTAAAATGGCACTGTAATTGACCCTAAACTCACTGTCACTCTTCAGGGTTTACTTAAGGTAAACTCTTTGTTTTCCCCTCAAATCGCGTGGCCCCGCCCCCAGCGTGCGACGTCACTTCCGGGTGACGCGCACGCGGGGATGGGGTTTCCCCCGGGCCCCGATTCCGGCACGCCGGGAATCGGGGCTCCGAAACGGGGGATTCCCCGCCCCCCGGCTGAATTTGGCAGCCCTACCAGTAAGTTCTTATCTGCAGAGTGCGTTGTCATTGCAGGGTATACCAGGAGAGGCCGTCCCAAAGATACCTTTCTTAACTGTTTTTAGGCCTTTGTTTATACCCCTATGTTAGGGTTGCCAACCTCCAGACAGGGCCTAGAGATCTCCTGGAAACTACACCTGCCCTCCAGACTTCAAGTATCAGGTCCCCTGGAGAAGACTATGGCATTGTACCCTACTGAGGTCCCTCCCCTCCCCAAACCCTGCCCTCCCTAGGCTCCACCCCCAAATCTCCAGGTATTTCCCAATCCAGAGCTGGCCCTCTGGTGTGTGTTTTTTGCATTACTACTATTTATAAAAGGGACAGTGAATTTGGAAGCCACCTCAGTCCCTTTTTAAGAAGCATCTTGCAGGGTATTCATTAATTGCATCTTCTTAAAACGTGATCCACTAGCTCAGCTCGGTGGCCTGTGATGCTGTTTTGCCAGCCTCAGCTTGAGAGGATGGATCGAGAGCCCCTGGGTATCTTTAGTCCTGTCAGTATTTAGATGCTGGATAGTGACCTTACAGTGCCACCCTAAACAGAATTACATCCTTCTATGGAGGTCTGGCATTTGCATGCTGTTGGGGGGCAAACTCCTCAATGGAGCAGCAGAAGAAGGGGAGGGGGACATTGGCAATGCATTCCTGTCACTTCTGGGTTCCAGCAGAAACTGCAGGGTTCTTCCTGATATGTATGGTTTAGCATAGAAATCAGGCAAAATCCTAGACAGTTGCGGATGTCATTTCCAGGTTATAGGTGGAAGGGATGTAGGTGCATTGCCCACATCCTTTTCTCCATGCCCCAACCCCAAAAGTCTCCTGGGTTTTTTTCTAGGCACACACCTAGTAGGATTGCCAAATTTGGAGAATTCCTGGAGATTTGGGGATGGACCATGGGAGAGTGGAGTTTGTGGTGGGGAAGGACCTCCATGGGATATAATGCCACAGAGTCCACCTTCCAAAGCAGCCATATTTCCAGGGGAACTGATCTCTGTAGTTTGGAGATCAGTTGTAATTCTAGATCCCCAAGCCCCACCCGGTTTCCAGGGAACCCTACTTCTAAGTCAGTGGACTTAGAGCAGCAGGGCTATTTTTGGAACACACAGGAACGGAGTTCCAGCTGGCTCCTGAGTTGGCCACGCCCAGCAGGAACTCATTAGCATAATAGGCCACACCCAACAGCAGAAACTCATTAGGATTGGCTACATTAGGGGTATGTGGCCTAACATGCAAAGGAGTTCCTGCTACAAAAAAGCCCTGGGTTTTGACAACAAACAAGGTAAACAGAATAACAAGCAAAAGGTGGGTGTGGCTGGATGACCCCACTTCTGGTAACATGGGGGTGTGGCCTAATGTGCTAATGTGTTTTGCTGTTGGGTGTGGCCTATTGTGCTAATGAGTACCTGCTCGGCTTTTTCTACAAAAAGAGCCCTGTACAGTATAACTCTGTTTAGAAAGGCACTGTAAGCAACTTATGATATATCTAGCTAGCTATCTATATCACACACACATACACAGAAACCATATTGGTCCAATAGAGAAAAACTCCGAGCAGGCACAGTATCATAATACCTGGTTTAGATCCAACCCAAAATCACAAAGCAGTGAGGTATCCTTCCATTTTTCCAAAATGTTTCTTTGAACAGAGAAGAGAGTTGTGTTGTTAGCAGAAGGCGTAATCGACTCCCCATCTGCAATACGTTATCTTTAAATGGTGATTCAGAAAGCTAATGAGGCCAGTTTGTGTCCAGTGCAAAAAGAACTGAGGCTGCCCCAAAGCATCCTGGGACCAGGAAACAATCGTCACTTGCACTTTGAAAATAGACACGTTGGCATCTCTTCAAATCCGTCCCTCCTGCTATTCAAAACTGGCTGCTTGCACGCACAACCCCACAGCAGGGCAAATAAGGCCCCCTGGTACCATTCTGGCTTGAGAAAACAGTGCCAAGAGAAGGCAAGAGCCCCCCCCCCCCTCATCGCCACCATGATCCCAATTAAAACCAGGTCTCCTGGCCCTTTTAAATGGAGTTCTCAGCATGAAGCTGCAGCTATAATCTGGCCGACTTGCGTATGTTGTAACATGTGGTTTGGCCCTCCATGTGCATTTATTGGACTCTCAGGTCAGTGGAATATTGTTTCTTTGCAGGGCTGCGGCTCATCTCCATTCTTTTCTCCTGATGCATTCCAGGTGTGAGCTATTCGGACACTGTGAGTGCCACGGAGCCATGCAAGCCATGCAAGGAGTGCGTGGGCCTTCAGAGCATGTTAGCACCCTGCGTGGAGTCCGACAACACTGTCTGCAAATGCATTTACGGCTACTACCAAGACGAGGACAGCGGCGACTGCAAAGAGTGCACCGTCTGTGAAGTGGGCTTTGGCCTTGTGTACCCATGCAGTGACACTCAGAACACATTTTGCGAGGAATGCCCCATGGGGACCTTCTCGGATGATGCCAACCATGTGGACCCCTGTTTCCCGTGCACCATTTGCGAGGAGAACGAGATCATGACCAAGGAATGTACTGCAGGATCAGACGCGGTGTGCAAAGGTAAGGATTTGATTCCGCTCCAAGTGGGTTGGCACCTTGGAATGTTCACAAACATTCTAACCGGCCGCTGAGGGTGAAAGTGTGTTTCCCATGCAGCATTTCCCATGCACCATGCACCTGTTTCCCATGCACCATTTGCAAGGAGAACGAGGTCATGACCAAGGAATGCACTGCAGGATCAGACGCGGTGTGCAAAGGTAAAGATTTGATTCCGCTCCAAGTGGGTTGGCACCTTGGAATGTTCAGAAACATTCTAACCGGCCGTTGAGGGTGAAAGTGTGCTTGCGGTGAGGAAAGGCGAAGGGTAGCTTGACCTGACGAGAACCGTTACAGTGGCCTTGGTGGGAAGAAGGGAAGGAGGCACTGCCACGGAGTGGAAGGAAGACTGTTCTGTGGAACAGGATCTTCCAGCCGCCAGTTTGCCAAATCTTGCCTGAGAAATTAGTGGAGATTTGGGGGCAGAGCTTGTGGAGGGAAGAGTTTGGGGAGGGGAGGGGACAGAGATCAGCAGGGCCATGTTGCCACAGAGTTTACTCTCTAACACTGCCATTTCCTCCAAGGGACCTAATCACTGTAGTTCAGAGAGCGGTTGTAATTCTGGGAGGACTCCAGCCCCACCTGGGTGCTGGTAACCCTAGACATAGCAGCTGACACAAAGAGAAGAAGGAGGCATATGGGACTGAAAGCAATACAAGCTTGTGTGGAATGGAAGCAACTGGAAAGGGATGAGGAGAGCAGATCCGAGGCTGATTTTCACAACTTGTCACACAATAAGTGATCCAGCTGTCCTCAACGAAGGACAGGGCCTTTTTGGACCTGATAGAGCAGTGGTGGCGAACCTATGGCACGGGTGCCAGAGGTGGCACTCAGAGCCCTCTCTGTGGGCACGGGTGCCATCACCCCAGCCAGGCCCAGACCATCATTAAAGTGTCGAATTCTCTGCCAAATAATTTTAAGTAAATGAAAGCATTTGGGATTGCTTTCCTTACTTTGTTTGGATCATCTTATGTTAATGTATGAGTTGTTTTTTTCTAAAGTAAAACCTCAGTATTCAGGTTAAATGGCCGTGTTGGCACTTTGCGATAAATAAGTGGGTTTTGGGTCGCAGTTTGGGCACTCGGTCTCTAAACGGTTCGCCATCACTGTGATAGAGGTTTATGAAAATATGCATGGGGTGGAGACAATTGACAAAGAGAAATTCCCCCCCTCTCCCAAAATACTAGAGTTCAAGGGCATCCATTCAAGCTGATGGGCAGTAGGTTCAGGACAGGCAAAAGGAAATACTACTTTACACAGAAAGTAACTTCCATATTCAGAGGCACTAAGCTTCTGAATCCCAGAGCTAGGAGGTGACATCAGGGCTCTTTCTTGTGTTCTTGTGTCCTTGAGTATTTATTTTTGTCCTTAAATATTTATTTTTTTATTTCTTATTTTATTTGTTGGATTTATATCCCACCCTCCCTGCAGGGTAGGTGACGACGAGAGAACTTACAGGACCATTAAAACGAATGATCACAACAGATGACTTAAAATCATTTAAAAGATGGCAAAGTTATACATTCATTTATGAGGTTCCAGCAATGCTAAATAAATGACAGAACAAAGAGTTCAAAGTAGCAGGGGAAAGTTTATTCTGCACTCTTTGCCGTGTGGACATTTGGAGTCCTCCGAAGCCTTTTCACATGGAGGTTTCTGGGCAGTTTGGGTGCGGCGATTTTCCCTCCGAGCTTCTTCACTTCCTTGTTTTCCATTTGTTGCCTTTCCTCCATGCCTTCTCAAATCAGTAGTTTAAGAATGTGTGGAGAAATGACAAAGAAATCACTGACTGCCAACAAATGGACAACAATGTTGGGAGGAAGCTCAAAGGTAAAAAGAACCATAGTTCAGTACCCCAAACCTCTGCCTGAAGAGCGCAAGGTGATGGATGAGTCCACATGACTAAATTTGTTCCTGCCCATGCGATCGCTTTTGTAGAACCTAGTCTTTCTGATTTTCTAGCAGATAACCACAGTCTCATCATTTGTCCTTTGGCCCAGTTTCCTCTGCTTTAGTTCCCATTTGTTAGTTCCCCAATCTTTGTACAGGAATTAACAGTAATTTGTGGACTGGTTGTGTTCAAGGATATTTTTTCTGCCACAGACTTTATTGTAGGACCCTGGGAAAGTCATTTAGCCTCTATTCCAGCCTCCATTCCATCAAAGAATCGCTATGAAAATGGCTAGGTAAAGGTAAAGGTTTCCCTTGCTCGAAAGCCAGTCGAATCTGACTCTAGGGTTGCAGTGCTCATCTCCGTTTCCAGGCCGAAGCGCCAGCGCTGTCCAAAGAAGTTTCCGTGGTCATGTGGCCAGCATGACTAGATGCTGAGGTGCACGGAACGCTATTACCTTCCCACCGAAGCAGTACCTATTTATCTACTTGCAATTTCTTCCTTTCGAACTGCTAGGTTGGCAGAGCTGGGGCCAGAGACAGGAGCTCACTCCATCACGCGGCACACTCGGGTCTCGAACTGCTGAACTACCGACCTTCCGGTCTGCAGCTCAGCATCTTAACCCCTCGAGCCACCGCAGCCCTTCCATGAAAACAGCTACAACTATGCAAAAATACTTATAAGAATAATATATCAAACTGTCGTTGCCTACATCCCACACTATCACAATAAGAAGCATATACATCCTCTGCTAACCAAACAAAAGAGAACACAGTCTCTAATTGTTGATAACACCAATCAAAATCTCCAGGGTTATATTCCTCGAGACGTCTTTCAAGCCTGTTCTCTGCACACGGATATATGTTAGTTGAGACTATTCTATTTAAGCTTGTTGCCCTGTGACGGGATTTTTTTAATCTGCTGAAACAGTCCTCTTTATCAGATGAGACCGTTCTCTACAGGCTTCCGGCGATCACCCTGTTTTTGAATTCCTTTCATCAGAAGACTTCTCTCCTAAACATGCCATAAGAACAGAAATGCTCCAAGTATTAAACTGGAAGGTTCAGGCACCAGAATATAACACGGAGCTCTCTCTTCCAAAAGTCAAACTGGCCACCACCATTTCAGTTAAGGCAGGACTGCTGAGAGCTCCGCCGGCTGCCAGGCAAGGGGCCCCGTGGCTCAGTGGCAGAATAACTGCAGAATGTCCCACGCTCAGTCCCTGGCATCTTGAATGAGGAAGGAGGTGATGTGGAAGACCTCCACATGAGACCTTGGAGAGCTGCTGCCAGTTTGGACAGACAAGACTGACTTCAGTGGACCAGCGGTCTGATTCACTACAAGGCAGCTTCTTGTGTTCAGGGTTTCCCACTGGGTCCCCCTTGCCCCACCTGGTTCAACCCCATCTATCAGATAGAGGTCATTTCGGGGGGGATCGCAGTTCCCCGGGTGAGGTAAGGGGGCGGGGCACATGACGAAGCCCTGCCCCCTGCTTCCGGCCGCCCCGCTTCCGGCCCTCATTCAGCCAGGAGGAGGCAGGAGAAGAGGGAGGGTAAGTTGCTTCCTCCCTGCCTCTCCCCACCCCTGCCTGCCTGGGGCCAGGGAGGGCCTTCGCGGGGCTTCCTTGCACTCCTGCCAGCCTTGCAGGTCCACCACCAGGCCCCTCATGGGGCTCGGCAGTGGAGCTGCAAGGCCGGCGCCGACTGGGACCGTTGGGGGTGGGGTGTGTGGCCTTATGACACATTTCCGGTGATGTCAGGGGGTGTGGCCTTATGACACACTTCAGGTGATGTCAGGGGGTGTGGCATATGCTAATGAGTTATGCTAATGAGTTCCCGTAGCTCTTTTTTTACGAAACGACCCCTGTCTATCAGATAGAGGTGGTGCTGCTGCTGCTGGTAGTGGTGGGAAGGGCTGAGAGTCACAGCTGACTTATGGTGTCCCCATAGAGTAGGGTAGCCAGCTCCCAGGCCGGAGTGGGGGATTCCCTGATTCCGTGGGCTCCTGAATGCCACCAGCCAGCTGACCAGTGGGGCAAGCCCCGCCCCCAACAGCTCCACCCTGGCGCAGTGTCCCCGATGTAGTGGTGTCACACAGAAGTGGTGTCATCACGCCAGGGACATCACACGGTGACGATCGGGTATTTGGGGCAAAACTTTATGGTAACCAGACACCAGAGGGTTCCCACGCAATGTCCCCGGTGTGATGACATCACTTCTGCAGGACGTCATCACGCCGTGGACGTCGTGTGCAGTGACATCATCCCACCTACCCCCACTCCCAGGAAGCTCCCTCCCACTCCCCACCTTGGCACCTGGCAACCCTGTTGTAGGGTTCTCAAGACAAGAGAGGTGGGTTTGCCACTGCCTGCCTCTGCGTCCATCCAAATACTGACCAGGGCTGACTCTGCTTAGCTTACGAGTCCTGACAAGGCTAGGCTAGCCTGGACTATCCAGGTCAAGGCAAAGGACCTCACTATACATTATGAGATCAATGGCTTGGATCCCATGAAAGAGTTCCATGTCTCTTGTTGCTATCGTTTCCATTTGTGCAACGTTTCCTTGAAAACTACAAATCTTGTGCAAATGGAACTGCTAGAAGGAGAGGTAGTGAGCTCCATAGCAGAGGCTGTGTAGCATGCCTGGAGCTCAGTCACAGGATCCAAAGCCCCTTATATTCCCTACCGGTGCAAGGTCTTTTTAAACCAGTCATGAGAAGGGGAGTTCTGTGCCTCCCAGATACTTGGTGGTGGTTTCGTGCTCATGACCACCACACACAGGGAGGGGCTGAGGTTCAGTGGCACAATAAGAGTGTTCCTCTTCCCACAACAGACACCCTGTGAGGTAGGTGGGGCTGAGAGAGCTCTTTCAAGAACTGCTCTTGAGAAAACAGCTCTGAGAGAACTGTGACTGACCCAAGGTCACACCAGCAGCTGCATGTGGAGGTGTGGGGAGCCCACGCTCCTAACCGCTAGACCAAACTGGCTCCCAGACTCCTGCCAGTTGCTGTGCCACCCTTGCGTATCTAATAGCCAGAACTGCGTGAGAGACCGCTTCTCCCCCTCCACAGTCTC